CAGGGCCATGGGTCAGTGAGGGGCATCATGTCTCATAGTGGGGCTGGCCATGTGGTCCTCTCTGTGGACTGGCTGCTCTAATTGGGGTCATCGTCTTTAAGGCCTGGTGGGCCAGGATGTGCTCCAGTCTCTCCTCCTCTCCGTCATCTGCTCCTGTGTGCTCTGGTCAGATATATCCTTCTCCCGGAGCTGTGGATTCAGTGCCATCCTTTTAAATAACTTCTCGGGGGAAGGGGGTTCATTTTTTTTTTCTTTTCTTCTTCATGTTTTCTTTGTGGGCTTTTTCTTTTTTAATTCATTACCTAAGTGTATCTATTCCATAATTCCATTCTCCACACACTGTTCTCACTCTGCACACATGATCTAATTGATTCCCTTGTTTTCTTGTATCTGTCATCTGTATGCTGGTGGGTTTTCTGTAAAATGTTCGACTCACATATCCAATTGGCAACTACACTGCATCAGCTGAAGGTCTTGTGACCATTTCGAATGCAGTTTGTCCCAAACTGAATACAAGATTTTCTCATCTCAAGCTTGCGCTTCCTCCCCAATACCCACTTGCCATCGAATGTATTCTGATTTATAGCAACCCTATATAGGATTTCTGAGGCTTTGTATATTTTTGTGGTAGCATACAGCCTTTCTCCTGCAGAGCAGGGCTAAGGAGTTTGAAACTCCAAGCTTGTGGTTAGCAGCCTGGTGTTTACGTGACAGCCCCAACAAGAAACCTTCCTCCAGTATTCTCTAAATCAGTCGATGGCGATAATACACAATTGTTCAAGGTAGAGACCTGCAATTAACTTGAATCCACCACCATCACCACCTTCTTTATTTTCTGTATCTCATTAAGCCTTAAGACATGACTGTTTTACCTACTAAACATTACTATCCCTATCCGAGTCTGGTGATCCAATAGGTTAAGTGTTGGGCTGCTAAACATGAAGTACGTGCTTCAAATCCATGGGCAGATTTGAGATTTCTTGTTGAGGCTGTCTGGCCCCATAAAGATCTACAGTCTTGGAAATCCTAGGGATCAGTTCAACTCTTGTCCATTAAGGTCACAAGTGTACATTGGAAACCACTCAATGGCACTGGGTGAGTAGCTCTGCTTCTCTTTCACAAGTTTAGGTCCTCAAGCTCATTCCTGGAGCTGTGCTACTCTATGAACCAGCTGAGAATTTAATATAAGATTAACAATTCAGCAACACACACACACACCCCAGCTCCACACACAGAGATTTACTGAATCAAAACGTACTCAGAACCTGAGTGATTTGTATGCATACAAGACGTTTTGAGAAGTGGTGTCTTTGGATATTACACAGTCTCCCAAACACTCTTCCTGCCTCCAAATCCACCCTTAATGTTACTGCTTAGAGTATTTTACCTAAGGTACAAATCTTTCTATGTCATTCCTCTGCTCTAAAATCCTTCACTATTTTTCCATGCTTAAAGGAAAAATTCTAAGTCCCTCAGCTTTCTACCATCTTGTCTCTGCCTACCTTCCCGAGGCTTATCCTCAACTCTTTCCTCCCACACTCTATGTGGGTTAGTAAGAA